GGGTGCATCGCCGTCTGTGCCAGCGCATAGTAACAATTCAGCAACGGCAAGCTTGTCTCTTGGGTTCATGGAAGGGTGGTCCAAGAGATTTGAGAAAGCCTCATCCAGTCCCGGGCGTTTCGGCGGGTGGTTCCCCATCAGAATCGCAAGGGCAATGTCGTGACGTCCCTGGCTAATTGCTACTTTGAGCGCCTCCGCCTGGTTGTAATCGCCGTCGGCATTGGATCGACTCAGCTGAAGCGCCGTTTCCAAACACCCTGCTTTGGTCGCATCCACCATGCACTGTGAGAGCCATGAAGTTGGTGGCCGGCCTTCAGATCGGAGAACGATTCCCACCAGATCTGCCTGTCCACCCGCAGCGCACGCTTGGCGGAACGATTCCTGAGCCTCGGGGCTATGCGCTACACCGGCGCCGTAACGAAGAAGAAGCTCGACGACCTCTACATTTTCCGACTGCATAGCTACCGGTAATGAGGCGTCCAAGGCAAATGTGTCGGCGTGTGGTAATAGGACCTGAATCATGTCGATCTGGCCATTGTGGACGGCATGCTGTAACAACTTACTCCGTTCACCAAAGCTGTCGAGACTTTTCCGGCGAGGCAGGATACTCGTCTTTGCCTTTTGTGCCATGTTGACGTCGCCGCCTGATGAGACGAGCAGTGTGATGAGAGCCTCCGCCACACCGGGCGATCCGCGGTCGGCGACATGCTTGTCGAGGGTGTCAAAGACAAGCTTGTAGTCCCACGACTTCTTCTTCCCGGTGAAGGCGCGCCGTAGGTTGGTGGTGGACTCTGTGCGGCCGTGTGACATTTGCTTGCGCTTGAGCAGCTCCTCCGCCTTGAAGTCGTCCTCCGGGGTCCGGAAGCTAGGGGGGCTAGAAGGCCGCGTCAGGGGCGTCGGCGACGGCGGAGGCTCGAGACCCCATTCCTCCGCAAACTGGATGATCCGCCGCTGGCGGTCATCCTCTGTCGGCGGAGTCGGCATCGGGGGTGAGCCGGGGGGAGATGATAGGAATGGAGACAGTTTGGCGATTTGTTGTACGGCGGTCAGCTGGCCGTATGATGCGAGAGAAAAGGGGGAGGGGGGAGGAAAGGAAGAGGAAGGAATGAGAGAGAGCTATGAGCGGGTAGCTCCCGTGAGAATGAAGTTGAGTGAGGCGGAGTACTACGTGAGGTGAGCTGAGAGGAAAGAGAGAGAGAGGAGACGTGCGGTGCAAAGTTTCGTTTTCGTCCCAAGATGATGTTGCACGCTCAACGGCAGAGGAACGGCGGAAAAGACGGCCTAGGGCCCGGTAGCAGCGGTAGGCGGGATAGCATGAACGGAGGAGGTGAGAACAAGCATCCAGGATCGATGGTAGGCTGACATAAAAAAGATACAAAGTGTGGTGGTAATGGCGATTGGCGGTGGTGGAAGAAGAGACGTTGGATGAATGGACGGATCGTTCGTTTGGGGGCCTCGGAAGGGCTTCTGTCTGGGGTTCGCGGATGTTCGGCCCAAAACGACTCGTATCGTATCAGCTGCACTCTCAACCCGCTCAGGAAAAGGCCAGACGGGAGATGGCAGACACACGGGTTGACCGCGGAACTGAACTCAAAGGAGAGTGAGGGAGAGAAAGGTAGAATGATGCAAGCCGAAGTGAGGGTGAGCGCACAGTTCCCCAACGGCCAGCCGCAGCAAGCAGCAGCAAGCAGTAACACTATCCGTAGCCCGTGTCCTTCTGCAGAGGTTGTCGAAGACGCGGGTATGGTGACCTTGGGAGTGTACGGACAGAAACTCGAGGCGAAGAGGCACCACGAAAGACGTCGGCGAAGAAAGATCGAAGGTCCAACGGGCAGAGGGCAGGGGTCGCGGGTTGAGTTGAGTTGAGGTATCCCGAGGTCCTAAGCCCTGTGGCGACAATGCGTCGCGTTTCAGCAGGGTGGAGTTCAAGTTTTTCGTCTGTTCGTCCTTTTTTCTTTTGCTCTCTCGGAGACTTGGAGAGACTTGGCCACCTTTGGTCCCCTAGTCTTTTTCAGATACGAGTGTCACAATAGAAAAACGGTTAGGGTGGCCGGGACCTTGTGAGACTGGGGGCTCGGGAGACAAGCGTGACAAGCGTACCTATCCGTAGGCTAGGCGGTTAGCGGACAGGTCGAAGGAAGGGGTGTGGCTAGGGCTTTATGAGGTCGGACGACGGCAGGCCCCTTGAAGAAGCTACACCAAGGGATAGTGACGTCGATCAGGTTAATGAAAGATACCGTCGGCCTTTTCCTTGGTTGTAGTCGCGATGAAGCTCCGGACTGAATGATTAAAGGGGATATCGCAGTCGACTGAAGCTTGGATAGCTGGAGACATTGCCCCCCTGAGAGTGGAGATGATTGACAATTAGAGGCAAATAAGTCAATGAAGAAAATGGAGATTCGACAGCAGGGCATAGGTATAGGATAAACGGCAGAACAAGTTCAAGTATGAATAGTTACCCGCCCAAAGCCAGTTATGCAAACAAGCCTCGAGAGACCGGCCATTCCTCGTTTAAGCTTGTTGAGTGACCCAGGGGGAACAGCTGCCGCCTGCGCCGGCGCGTGTGAGTGGTGAAGATAAATGGGCTCGGTGAGCAGTCGACGCGAACGTGGCAGGGCATACGCGGACACGTCGACGATCCCTGGGCCGCTGAAGGTCCCCGTACGAAGCGTGGAGGTGTATGGAGTGGGGAGGTTAGAGAAGCAGGAAAAGGCGGAGGAGACGGGACAGGAGTGGAGAAGATAATGGAGTCGAGCTACGGAGGGGACCGAAGGGTCCGTTGGAGTACCCGAATGTCTTCGAAACCTCAACTTGAACAACGAGTCCTGGGCCAAGTCTTGGGCCAAGATTTGCCCAGAGAGAATATAATACCTCTCACGTTTAACACCAACCAAGCTTCATCTTTCTTCACTTGAACACCTATGCAGACTGCAACTCAATGGGCAATGGTTTCCGTACTTAGTGGAAGGGTAGCATGTGCTTCTTCCAAACATCTCTCGGGGCCGAGGGCAGAAAGACTCAAGAGCCAAGGAATGCATGGTCACCAAGTGGCTCTTCGTTTGGCCCGAGTAAGGTATCCATACGGGTAGTCTTGAAAACTCACCCTAGACTCTCCAAGATTCTGGGGCAAGATGAACCCCGATTGTTCGAAGGACGAGAAGGGAGAATACAGGCGCCGCGACAACCCCTGACCCTTGAACGAGTGTATGGTCACCAGTCAGTCCACCATGAAAGAAAAGGTACGAAGCATGCTGAACGGATGGAAAATGTACGTATCCGTAAATGACTTTGCAAATTGCCTTACCGTTCCGGCCACCTGGCTGTGCGTTCCCGCTTTGGCTTTTACTCGACTGCCTCTGCTGTGTGGCGCCCGACGGACGCATCAGCCCACGCGCAAGAGAAGGCTAAGAAGGTTCTTCTGCCGCCCTTCTTACGTGGCGTGCATGGCCGAGGGGGTACACTCCCGCAAGCTCATTCGTCTCACCGAAACATTCCATCGTAGAAACGAATGCACGCTACTACGCTGCCGTACCTTAGCAGATAGACCAAGGTACACACAGAAGCCAAGGCGGGCTGAGCCTCGTTGGAGACGCCATCGATTGCGTCCAAGATGTTCCCTTTTTTGAAATGTCTGAAGATCGATTGGGGAGAGGGAAATGTAACCCACACGTTGGGACAGATGTGTTGACAGCTTTCGATATAGCCATGCGTGCCATGCTAAGAAGAAGCCAAGTGATCAGGACCGGCACTATTATAGAATGGATGAGATCATTAAGAAAGGGCCTTCTGAGATGGTCACATCTAGAATGTCACTGCGGGAAGAAAAATGAACCCCAGGCAGAACCGATTGGCGATCATCCGGGTGCCCCGACGCATTGCTGTCCGCACTCAATCCGAGTCTTGGCAACTGACTAGCTTCACAGATTCCCCGACTTTGGGAGGGAACATGCTGGTTCAACGTTTGATGCTTGACGACGGAATGATCCAACTACTCGTTTCTTCCCCATGATGTATCCGCACTAGCAAGCCCATGTTGGACCGCATCAACCCAACGACCATGAATGAACGACGATACACAATGCCGCGATTACCGGCCCAGTGGTCGCGTATCGTCCAGATCCGGGCGCCTGTCATCTCTGCTCTAGCAGCTTCGCTTGCCAGCCCTGCTGCTACGACCAGCGGTTCATGCCAAGGGTGTTGAGGTGACGCTCAATCCATCATCAGATTTTCAAGGTTTGCAATGCCATGCCGTGGGTGAAAGCGCCCGAGCACCGCTACGGTGTAAAGTGGTGATGGAAACATTCGCCGCTCGATACCTATCTTGCAAATCTACGTATACTCTTTATTACCAGTCCGGTCTACTCAAGATTTTGAATCTTTAAAGTGTGTATGGTTTTCAAAACTACACTCAGAATGTTAGTTTTACGTTGATCAGTAACATATTTTGTCACCTACCTCAGTATTATGGCGAGTCATCTGCTCAAAATAACCACACTGCACTTCAATTTCCCTTCTCCATCACATAACCAACGAAGAGCACAGCGCTTAAGTAGTTGCCTTTGCTGTTTCCCCCTCAATGCCAGCTAGGGAGCTTCCACTTTGAAGCAAGTAAACTGCCTCATTCTCTCAAGCCATAGCGATGTTTCCCCTACTCAATTGACCATCAGACACATCAAGACTAGATCTATCGAGATGACAATAATAGTGATCATCGTCATCACATTGCTCGGTCCTTGAATGCGTCACCATGAAGTTGGGGCAATGAGATGAGTGAGCATGTTGTGTGAAGCCATACCATCTCTCAGTCTCACTATTGCCCACCAATGCTTTGAGCTTCGCACTCACTCTCACTCCTGATCTCATTCACCCCAAGACCGGCAAAGAACTCACCCACCTCACAATGACGGCTTCTGTCGGAAAGCCGACCCCTCCTCTCACCCGTCACCCGAAAAAGGGCAGCCCCGCCTCCGGGTCCCCCGCCCGCCTCTCATTGCCGACCTGACAACGAGAAGCAACCCCGCCATTGTCTCTCTCAAAGCTCATAGCTTCCGCGCGCGAATGGCCGAAGCATTTCCAATCACGTCTTGTGAGAAGAAAGCCCCTCACCTCATCGGAACGCTGACTAAACCACAATTGAGACCTCAAGCGCAATCGGAAGCTATTCCAATAACGCCCCTCCATCGTCCCATAGGTTCAGACCAAAATAAGAAAAGAGACCTGAGACCCTTAACCACCTTTCCCATCGCAAATGTCCCGATTCCTCATCTCGCGACCCTCCACATCCATCCGCATCCTCACTAGAAGCTCCAACCTCACAGCCGCCCTCACCACAATCACCAACTCCACTCAAATCACCGCATCACAACCCTTCCTCGCACACTCTCACCACCACCAAACCCGCCCCTTCACCCCATCACCAACCCATCGCACATCCCTCTCCCCAGCCCCGCACTTCACAATGGCCTCCTCCGGTTCCTCTCTCCCCCAAACAATGACGGGAATCCAAATCCCCCGCACAGGCGGCACAGAAGTTCTGACCCACCACACCGACCTGCCCCTGCCCGCCCTCGGCGAGAACCAAGTCCTCGTCCGCAACGAATACGCAGGCATAAACTACATCGACACCTATTTCCGCACCGGCCTCTACGCCGCGCCCCTCCCCATCACACCCGGCCGCGAGGGCGCCGGCACGGTCGTCAAATCCCACCCTTCCGTCTCCGGCTTCAAGGAGGGCGATCGGGTGGTCTACATGGGCCCCTTTGGCTCGTACTCGGGCTACTCCGCCGTCAACGCCGCGCAGCTCCTGCACATCCCGGACGCGCTTCCTACGAATAAGGCCGCCGCTGCGCTGCTGCAGGGACTTACGGCGTGGACTTTTATCCGTGAGGCGGGCGAGGTGCAGAAGGGGGATTGGGTTCTTGTTCACGCTGCTGCTGGCGGGGTTGGATTGCAGCTTGTGCAGATGTTGCGGGCTGTGGGGGCCAAGGTGATTGGTACGACGAGCAGCGATGAGAAGTGTGCTCTGGCGAAGAAGAATGGCGCAGAGTATATTGTCAACTCGCGCTCGCAGGATCTGGTGGAGGAGGTGAAGAAGATTACGGGCGGGCATGGTGTTGATGTCATCTTTGATGGTGTTGGTAAGGCTACGTTTGACAGTGATATTGAGATGGCAGCGCGGAAGGGGAGATTGGTTGTCTTTGGGAACGCGGTGAGTTCTACCCTGAGACGCAACGATGTCTCCAAACTTGTCGTCAAGAGCTAACATAGTGGCCAGTCCGGAGCTGTCCCTCCCTTCGACATTCTCAAGCTGGGCCCCAAGAACTTGAAGGTCATGCGACCCATTGTCAACGGCTACACCGCGACCAGGGAGGAGCTGGAAAAGTACAGCACGGAGCTGTTTGACATGATCACCTCGGGCAAGGTGGAGGTGGCCATCCACAAGGCGTACCCGCTCAAGGACGTCAAGCAGGCTCACGAGGATCTTGAAAGCCGCAACACGACGGGCAAGCTCATCCTCAAGGTCGACTAACTGAGGGCACCCCTGTGACAACATTGAAAGCGGGTCAACTAGGGGTCGCTATAAGGGATTATTGTCTTGAACTTTTTTTTTTCTTTTTAAATTAAATCTTCTCTATGGCGGTCGTCGTATCATGGCTCTCGCTGCGAATAGCACTAATTCTATCATCATCTATGATAAGCAACCAAACTTTTCCTTTTTCTTTTTTCAAGATATGGCTGATGCTCCGACACATTTCGTCCCCCCTTGCTTAACCGCTCGTGGGCTTGGCGTTGGCGAGGAGCTCAGGGGGAGGATCCTGGCGGTAACCCTTGGGGTTGTTGCTGACCCAGCGCCAGAGATCCTCGCAGGCCTTCTCCAATGTCTCCTCAGTCTTCCAGTTGAGCTCCTTGTTGGCCAAAGACGGGTTGGCAGTCAGGTCGAGGACGTCGCCCTGGCGTCTGGGGACAACGTCGTAGGGCAGATCGCGGCCGACGACGTGGCTGAAGGCCTTGATCATCTCGAAGACGGTGCTGCCGCGGCCGGAACCGAGGTTCCAGGCCTTGACACCGGGCTTGTTCTCGCGGAGGTAGTTAAGGGCGCTCAGGTGACCCTTGGCCAAGTCGACAACGTGGATGTAGTCACGAATGGCAGTACCGTCTCTTGAAGAGTAGTCTACTTATGGTCAGCGAGGCCTCTGCATTGTTTCATTGTGTGTACATACCGTCGCCGAAGACGAGGAGCTTGTCGCGGTCACCGGTAGCGACCTTGCCGAGCAGAGGCAGCAGGTTGTAGGGGACGCCCTGGGGGTCCTCGCCCATGAGGCCAGAGGGGTGGGCACCGCAGGGGTTGAAGTATCTCAGAAGAGCACCGTTGAACTGCTCGTAGGACTTGCCGGCCTTCTTCAGCTTGTTGCGCTCGGCATTGATGTGATCGGTGATGACCTGTTCGACAAAGGCCTTGGTGTGGCCGTATGTGTTGGTGGGGCCAATCGGGCAATGCTCGGGGATGGGAATCATGTTCTCGAAACGGGTGGCATCACCGTAGACGGTCGCCGAGGAAGAGAAGACAATGTTGGGCACATCGTTATCCGTCATGGCCTGGAGGAGGGAAACGGTGCCGGCAACGTTGACGCGGTAGTATTCGAGAGGAATCTCGCCAGACTCGCCGACAGCCTGCAATCGACCATGTTAGTTATTCTCGTGGAATACGTCGTAAAGGAGGAAGAGAGCTGACCTTGAGCGCGGCGAAGTGAATGACACTGTCAATCTCGGGGTGCTTCTTAAAGACCTCGTCGAGGCCGGCCTTGTCGGTGACATCGACCTGGTAGAAGTGGGGTCGCTTGCCGCTCAGCAGCTCGATGCGGTCGACGGCAACCTTGGAGGAGTTGTACAAGCTGTCGACAATGACCACATCGTAGCCGTTCTGGAGAAGGGTGAGGGAGGTAAATGAGCCAATGTAACCGGTACCACTGCAAGACACCAAATCGCGCGGTTAGCCTTTGTTCCGTATTCGGACTTGCGCCAACGGACAGCGCCACGGCAGCGGGTGTCAACGGTGCCACGGGCAATTGGGTTTCCCTGGACTTATCAGTTGGATGATAGGAGGCAGCAGCTTACCCGGTAACCAAGACAGTTCCAATGGCCATCGTGAAGAAATTTGCTGGCGTCGATCGCAACTAGATGCGGTGAGGGGTAATTTGGAGGTGGAGGGGGTAGAGTAGTGAGAAGGAGAGTAGTGAGAGATGCGCGGTCCGTCGGGGTATCAAGTCGTTAGGTTGTGAAGGAGAGCGCAAGTCTGTCGTAGGTTTTGAGTTGGAGGAATGACGAAAGGAAAGAGTTGTAGAGGAATGCGGGAGGAGGCGAGAGATATATCTGGTAGTTGATGTGAGGGGTGGGAATAATGAGGCGACGGTCGCAATAACAGAAAAAGTAAACGGGGTCGTCTGTCTGTAACGTCCAGGCTGAATGATGATGTGGGAGAGAAATTGGCTCGGCCTTGAGTGCCACCGTCCACGCCAACGCCCTCGCCCACGCTCACGCCCACCAGTGAGACCAAAGCAGTGAGTGCATTTGGGGCCATCCAATGTTCCATTTGTGACGGCCAATCTGGCGCGCCAAATTGGAGGCGATGGCGGGGTCTTGCAGGCGGGGGTGGCACCAATCTCAATCGTTGTGGCTGGCTGCGGAGCCCAGCAATTTCTTCCTCGAAATTCAAACGGCGCAATTGTTGGCACGCTGAAACTTGCAATGACCGGGGATCGCGGTGCCGTGGAGACTGATCTTCGTGGGCAGTGGACGGGTCGACAAGGTCCCTTGATGGTTGACCATGTTGACTGCGTTTCCATGGCTGTCACGCTATCGCCAGACTGTGGTTCTTCTCCCCCAAGACGGAATGTTCAGGTAGGTAGACTGTTACTGGCAAACTGACACGAGAGTCAAGAGACAGATCGGATGACGGATCAAGAGGTGGATGATCTGGTGGGGTGTCTCCCCGGCGCATGTTCCCCGTATCCGTATTGTTTAACCCTTCCCGGATGTCTCTCTGCTGTTTGTTGGAGCGGCTGGGTGGTTGGCAACTTGACCGGCCTAGCCTCGCCGAGTAGGTGCTTTACAGCCCGAGTTCCCCATCTGCACATTTGCGGGATCCAATCTGGCACTGCAGGTTTTCCGTTCTGTCCGGTTGTTCGCCCGAAAGGACGAAGGTGAGGGTCCGGCGGCTTCCCGTGTTTGTAGACGGCAGCGGAATCAAAGTCAAGTCTGGGCCTAGGTTCATTGGTTTAGCGCAGACGATACGGGTACCATAGCACTCATGGCTTCAAGATTAGTCATAGTATGTCTCTCGGGCTAAGACCTGGCTGGCGCAGGTCTTGCATCGAGTTCAAGTGCCCTGCATATCCTCGATGTTTTGCGCGATATTTCAATGGCACAGCGAAGAGTGAACTGGAAAAAGCACGTGTCGAGAATCGCATTGAGATGGATCTCTCCAGGATGGACCAGCAATTCGAGGTGGAGTTCTCAAGGTTATGGGAAGGGCGTGGAGTATCCGTAATCGGTGACGTACTGTGTGGTCTGGATTAATGAGCTTTTTCAGCCTCAGGTTGAACGCCTTATCTGATGGACAATCTTATCCGGTTTATCGATATCAGTGCTCATCTTATCATATCATCACGTGGTCGCAACCATCGATTGCTTACCTAATACTGGCAAGGTTCTCGCTTATGTAAGGTCCACTCGGCCGCGCGTGGCACTGGCCGACCACCGTTGCGGGGACCTTCCTGAGGACCACAGCGCGTGCGCGGGCAACGGACACGCTGCAAGGGTCTGAGCTTTCTCTCTGCGCCCCCCGGGTGCTGGCTGGCGGTTGGCGGTGGGCGGCTGTCTGTCGCGAAAACATTCCCATGCCCGGTGTGTGTATGTGTGAAGCTCCTCAAGTGAACGCTTCAAGACGGCACAAAGAAACTCAACGAACCCTCGGGGCATCCCTTATCTTGCATCACCTCTGTCGCAAAACTCATTTTACTCGACCGACATATCATTGACCCGCTCAAACCGCAACGGCAGTCGCATTCCTTCGTCCAGCTCGTCTATCTGGTCCTCCACACCGACGATCCGACGCGCGCGTGGTTTGGCGCGACTTGTGCCTGGGAAAGATGGTCGTTGCGACCAGGGACCGCTCCTCCTCTCTTTGTTGACAAGCCGCCTCCCTCCCTTCCCGATCCGGCGGGCCTGTCCCTTTGGAATAGCTTCACTTTGGGATTCTTCTCCCAGTCGAAGCTCCCGTAACCGTCTCCCTGCAGCCTTCACAAAGGCTCATTCACTCACGACCTTCAACCTCGCGCCAATTCTTCTCGAGGGTTTCCTTTGGTTGCCGCCTCCCTTGTAGCTCAACATAGATCTCATGCTTCATTGCGCCGGCTATTGTTGATGAGACAAAAGAGACCTCGACGTAGGACAAACTGCTTTTCAGATACTCGTTGATAACTTTAGCGCATGTCTACCCAGACAATAATAATGTGAGTTGCGTCTTTGCAATCTTTCATTCAGTCTACTTCCCCCGTTGCTTCTTTCCTTCAACGTTCTTTCTTCTCGCGCTTGCCGTCTGGGAGTTTGGCCTCATCGTCACTTCCTACTTCGACATTTTCCACTACGCTCCTAGCCTTGTCATTCTATTCCACCTCATACACCGTATCTCTCCTCATCTTCACCAACCCAACACGATCGGTCTCATCTCACTATTACGTGGTGTTGAGTGACCACATTCTGATACACAACCCACCATTTCAACTCATACTCATCACCTTCGCAGTCTTTCGCCCGTCACACTGCACCAAGATGCCTCCCAAACGAAGGGTCCATGACGATAACGGTGAGACGCCGTCCACCCTGGCCGGGGGTGCTGCCGTCAGTCGAGAGCTGCCTCCGTTGGCATCACGACTCGACACATCTTACGGATCTGCGCCTTCCACGATTTTGCGAAACACTCGCCGTGGTCAAAAACGTAATCTGCAAGACATTATCAAGGAAACTCTTCACGACAGCGACGATCCTGATGATCCGGATGACCCGGATGATGGCAACGACAGCGATGATGACGATGCCAGTGCGAGCAGTAGTGAGAGCAGCAACAGCAAACAGCCGCAACCGAATCCTTCTCGACACACAAGGCAAACAAAGTCGCCAACTCCCAAACCAGCGTCAAAGCCGAATCCGCCCCGCAGAGTGCAACCAAGTCCTGACCCTGACCCGGACTTCGACCAAGACTTCGGTCCCTATCGAGAGTCGTCAGAATCCCCTGATCCATCAAGGGATGCAGCGCCAGACGCGGCCCCCGTCCGCCGCTCACCGCGACGACAATCACCAGCCAAAATTGGTGAGTGCTACCACGTGCCCGACACTGGGTCTTGCCTTGTCGCGGTCTCACTTCCCTTGCTAAACATCGTCTCAGCTCCCTCTGTCGAACCTCCTTCATTCCAGCAAGGCGCTCTCGTTCCACCACAGCAGTTCTTGCCAGGAGCTGCACCGCCGAGAGGGCAGTTCTCAACTTATTCACAGTCCATGGCCAGGAGAGCCAGCTCAGAAGACCCTGCTCAAGGTCTAACACCTGCTAGGCGATCCCTTCCTGCTGCAAGCTGGAATTCCGTCTTCGCCCGAGCCATATCCGAAGAGCCTTATTCTCAGTCTCGCTCTCAATTCGCTCAACAACGAGGTCCTCCGGAGCCGACTCCGACCCCAGACTCAGTCCGTACCTTTGGCCAGGAAAGCTCACTCTTTGGGGGTGCCGATATTGGCTCGACCCCGTCGCAGTCAATTTCTTCAGAGCGTGGTGGTCGCATGCGGTCCATAGAGGAGACTGAGGAGCCCTCTCCGCCGAAGGAAGAGACGAGAGGCATAAATCTTCTCAGTCCATTGAGGCGCTTGGCACGCGATCCCCGGCACAATCTCAACCGAAATTTGAACCAGGCGGTCACTCACCAAGGCGTGATACAAGCCCCGATCACCAAGGTTTCCGATAGGCCTCCTCCCGAGCTACTGCCTTTGCTGCCCTCCCAAGGTACCTTCCGTCCACCTCAACAGGGTCCACCAAGCACACCGCCTTCAGATCGAGTTCGACCGCGCAGCAGTAAATCTCCTTACCAGGTTTCGCCTGCTCGTCCTGTCAACCAGTCTCCTGCTAAGAGAGACCCACCAGGGTCAGTAGCAAGCTCGCGTCAGCTCGCAGCTAACAAAGCTTCGGTGTCACCTTCTCCTGCTGCAAGGTCGAGCTCGACACGTCTATCAAGTCGTGTCAGCGAAGAGCCATCTCTCCATCATCAATCTCCTAACGTCTCAGCCCGCCACTCTTCGCCTCGCAAGCCAATGCAGGCTATCAACTTCAGTCCTGCTCGGAGAGGGCCCCTGGCTGGAGAGCAAAATTCAGCACCTCCTCCCCCCCTGTTCGGTAAACCTCTACCCGTCAATGGTAACTCAGCACCGTCTCGTTCCTCTGCCAATGATCCGCCAGCCATCAGAGTAGATGCTCCACCATCTACAGCGGGCGGAACCGCTTCAACGAGGCTCTCTGGTACAAGTGGCCTCCCTGGCAACAGAGATGGTCGACAGGCATCGGCCCCGCCCCGGGCCGGTATGTTCACTCCTGAAATGCGAGCAAGGATACAACAAGAGCATCTGCAGGAAAGAGTGAAACAAGAAGCCCTTCGAAAGGAGCGCAATGCACGTTTGCAGGCATGGCCACGGGTCTATAACACAGTGTACGAATGGTCCGCTGTCCCTCGACCGGATAGCCCTGAGACAGATGACGGTTTTGAATCCGACTCGGACGGCCACATGAACTCAATCACGACTTCGCGACAGGTTCCCTTAAGCGAGTTCTCGTGGGCAAATTGGATCTTGTTCAAGATCGCCGACGCGTTTGTGGACTTGCTCAGCCTTGTCTTTTCCCTGAACTCTTGGATCTTCAAGGCTTCGCTCGGCGTTCTGCTTCTTTCACTCTTAACGTGGGGCACGTTGACAGGACTGAACTCGACGCCGGCTAATGGACTAGGCGGCATCCAATGGTACGGTCTGTCAGACCTTTCACACAACCTTGGGCAATTTGTGCCACTATGGATGTCGCGGCCGGCAACGCTCTTCGGCGATGAGGACGCTAGAGAATACATCCGCCAGCAACGCAACCATGAATACGAAATCATCAAGTTGACGACGGCCAGCAAACTTCACGAGGGGTCGCTGTCACGCTTGATGGAGATTGTGCCCAAGGTTGTACACATGAAGTTGGACAAGAAAGGACGACCCGTCGTGGGGGATGAATTTTACCACGCACTGCGTGACCTCATGAAGAGCGATACCGAAATTTTGACGCTGAGCCGGGGTCATGGTGGCTACCACTTCATCTCCGATGAGAACTGGCTGGCGATCAAGAGCAGACTCCAGAAGGACCCGGTGTACCAAAAAGCTGCTGAGCCGCCTTCGCCGGGACTATCTACTACGGACGTCGAGAACATCTCACAGTCCAAGTTTGACAAGACCTGGGAGAAGTGGCTCGTCAACAACAACAAGAAGGTCGCTAAAATACTGGAACCCCAGTTCAGCACGTCCATTCCGGACAAAATTGGCAAAGACCTCGAGGCCAAGATTGAGAAGTTTGTTAAGGACCAGTTCAAGAACAAGGACACCAAGGACGTCGTGGTGACGCGCGATGAATTCATTCGCCATCTCAAGGGCGAGTTCGCTACCCACCGGAACGAGGTCAAAGCTGAGGCGCAAGAACTACAGAAGAAGCTGGAGCAGTACATCAACAACTCAGTTGAGGGTATTTTGAAGAAGAGTCCGCCAAAGGGCGTCACCCGGACCGAAATGATAACAATTGTTGATGGCATGATCCGCCAGGCGATTGCGAATGCTGGACTGGAAGCGCTTGCACAAGGCCAGATTGGGGCGGTTTGGGACAAAGAACTCCGCCATCAGGTCAACTACTTGGCCCGTGGCAGTGGTGCTATTGTGGAAGGGGATGATGGGACGCCGGATTATGTGCCTCCCATCAATGCCAGACCTGGCACCCCGAGTTATAAGAGAGCAACATCGCGGAGTCCTTATATCCAATCCAAGGCTGCAACGCAGGTTGGCTGGGAGGACGAAGGGGACTGCTGGTGCGGCATGGCTGTCGTGGACAGGGACGGGAAAGAAGGCGGTGTCCGCATCGGCTACATCCTCAGTCGAGAGATTGTCCCCCAGCATCTCGTCGTCGAGCACATTCTACCTGGGGCTACGCTCAACCCCGACGCCAGGCCAAAAGACATTGACATTCTGGCATACATCCCCGATCTCCACACACGCAACCGGGTTGCCGACTTTGCTGCAGCCCACTTCCCAGGAAGTAGACTCGAGGATGGTTGGGTCAAGATTGGTCAATTCACTTACGAAAGTAAGGACACGCTCAACGGAGCACACGTACATAAGCTCAGCTCAGAGCTGCTTTCCCTGGGAGCCTATACGGATCACATTGTGCTCCACGTTACCAGCAACCATGGTTCCGACCATACTTGCTTGTACAGAGTGCGTCTCTACGGCGTTGAGAGCGAGGCTTGAGGAGGGGGAACCGAATCATGGGCGAGGAGGATACATTCTTTTGGTCGTCGCACATCCGGCGTTTATACGATTGGGTCTTGCTACATCTGAGAGTAAGGCACTGGTTTATGGGTGGCTTTTTGCAAGACACGACGTTTTTCAAGCTTTTAGGGAACGAGGGGTTAAAAAAGGTCACTTGGCGTTGGGGGTTGACGATACCCCTTGGGCTTCTTTTTGATGCAGTCCTTAGACAGAGAAGGTATTTAATGCATAACGTTTTAAAACATTTTTGCTGAAGAATGATGCCCGTACTCTACATAATCAAGTGCTTTTGAGATGGCAGGCCAACTTTTGTCCTTCTGGTTCAATCCTCACAACGGGGTATATATCTTTTAGTTCAACAAGCCCGAAGCCAGCGCCTCGAGGTCCTCCAACGTCTCGGGCTCGTGGTCAATCTCGAGCACCTTGCCGCCCTTCTTGGCCTTCTTCTTCTTCTCCCTCTCCTCGTCAGAGTCGTCCTGGAACCACTTCTTGGTCTTCTTCTTTGGCCTCTCGTCCTCGCTGCCGCTGTACTCGTCGCGACCTTCACCCGCAATCGGCAACGACCGCAACAGCGCCAACGGATCTTCATCACCGTCATCCCCACCCGCGACCTGCGGTCCCTCGGCGCTCTTCGAAACAACCTCCCCGCGCTCCTCGGCCTCCCTCTGCTTCCTCTTAAGCCTCTTCTCCTTACGCCGTCCCTTGGCGGTAAGCTTATCATCCACATCAGCCTCCTTGACGCGCGCCGCCTCGCCGGCGACGAACTTTTGCCGCAGCTCCTCCGCGGGTCCTTCCCTCTCGAAATCGTCCTCGTTTTGCAGCTCGTAAATCTGGTGCGCGTTGCCGTCCTCGTCGAACACGAGCTTCTCGCCGCGGCCCTTGAACTTGAGCATCTTCTTCTTGGACTGGAGGGCCTTTTCGCGGCGCTTGGAGTCGACGATGAAGTCTTGGCCGCCGTAGGATAGTACCTTTGGCTTTGCGCCGGGGGCGAGGGCGGATTCAGCGTCGAGATCGGCGTCGCCGAGGACGCGTTTTACGGAGAGGAAGTCTTCTTCTTCGTCGGCGACGGCGGTTCCGGTGGCTGCTGCGGTGGGGTCGGTTGTGTCGCCAGTGCCTTCGTCGCCGTTGGCTACGAGTTTGTTGTAGTGGCCTGAGAGGACGTCCTGGTTCGTGCGCTCGAACATGCGGTCGTACTTTGTCCTGACCTCGGGCTTCTTGGGCTTCTTAGATCCTGCGGCGTCGTCGGAGTCCTCCTCGTCTTCGTCGGAGGACATGCCCTTGCGGGGTGCGTTCTTGACCTTTTTGATATCTTCACCCTTGCGCATCTTGATTTGCGGCGCACCGGGGAGTCCGAGACTCGCGGCGAAGGCGTCGAGGTCGAGCTTGTTGAACTTGAAGACTTCCTTGTCCTTTTGCAGGTAGATCGAGCGGACGTAACTGATGAATGCCTTTTGGCCAAGGTACTTGAGGTCCGGGTTGGAGAAACACATGCTCTGGAGCTGGTCCTTGATGCTCTTCTTCTTGCTCTCCTTGACGGTGATCTTGTTGATGGGCACCTTCTTCAGCTCGAGGCGCTTAAGCATGCCGGCCTCTTCGCTGGGCTCGAGGAAGAGGACGGCCTTTCCGTCGCGCTCGTAACGGGCGGTACGTCCGACGCGGTGGATGTAGGTGTCGACGTCTTCGGGACAGTCGACCTGGACGACCCAGTCGACGGCGGGGAAATCGACACCGCGGGCGACGACGTCGGTGGCGAAGAGAACTGATGCATTTGCGTCGGCGAAGCGCTTTGTGATCTCCATGCGCTGGAGTTGTTTCTGCTTGCCGAGGAGGTGGAGAAGCGGGACACCGGGTTGGAGGTGCCGCATGCCTTCGTAGGCGAAGCGGACTTGCTTGCCTGAGGAGAAGAATACGATGATCTTGCTCTTGAGGTTAGCCTTGATGAAGCCGAAGAGGGTGTCGAGCTTCTCGTGGAGGGGGGTGACGATGTAGTGCTGTTGCAGGTTCTTGGGTGTGGATTCCTCGTGGACGGCGACGTATTCGGGGTCCTTGAGACTCAGGCGCGCGAGGTCGGAAATCTTCTTGCTCTGCGTCGCACTGAAGAGGAGGGTCTGTCTCGTGGAGGGGAGGTGGTCTACCAGCGCGTCGACGGCGTGCTGGAAGCCCATGTCCATGATGCGATCCGCCTCGTCGAGCACCAGGATCTGTAGGTTGTCGACGTCGAAGCCGGCGGTCTGGTCGAGGTGCTGCAGCATGCGACCGGGCGTGCAGACGAGGATGTTCATCTTTGACAGACGCTCGGCCTCCTCCTTCAGACTCTTGCCACCAATGACGAGGCCGGCGGAGAAGTTGTGGTAGCGGCCGACCTTGCGGAGGACCTCAAAGATTTGGGCGGCGAGCTCGCGGGTCGGGGAGATGATGAGGGCGCCGAGGCCGTCGAACTCTGTCCATTGTGCGCGGTAGAGCTTCTCAAGGACGGGAATGATGAAGGCGAGGGTCTTGCCGCTGCCCGTCTTGGCGGCACCGAGGATATCGTTGCCCTTGAGGGCGAGGGGCACGGCGCGGGACTGGATGTCGGTGAGGGTCTCGAAGTGGGATTTTTCGAGGCCCTTTCGGGTTGTTTCGCAGAGGGGAAGATCGGAGAAGTTGGTGTATTCGCTCTTGAGATCCTATTATTCGCGCAGACGCAGAGTCTTGGGTTAGTCTTGGTCCAAAGGTTGGCCATGTCGTGGGCTTGGTGTGGCGGGCGCGCGCGCAAAAAGAGACTTACAAAGTCGGCTACGGCTTTCTCGAGCTGCTCAATTGTTTGCAGCTGTTGCTTCCTCTTTTCGAGGCGCGAGTCTCTCTTCATGACCTTGGGCTGCTGTTTCTTCCCCGATCCCTTCGCGGGAGCCTTTGTGGGAGTCGCCATTGTCGTTCGTCCAGGTTGCGTCGAGATCTTGCACTGCGGAGGATCTTAGCCTAGAAAGAAGTTAAAAAAAAAAAAGTTCCGACAATACTTTGGAGGAAGCGCCTGGAAATTTTTTGGCGTCGGGTTGCTGCGGTGGAGTGAAAAGTTCGGCATTCGGCGACAGGGGATGCCGTGCGTGGGGTTGGAAGCGGTAGCCCCTGGCGGTCAGTCGAACACCTGGCACCATCTGGAAGCCCACCAGCCTTAAGATGCCTCTCTTTCACAGCGCCAGTGCCATGAGCGTCAAAGGAAACACCCAGTCTCCACGTAATTCTCTAGGTAAGATAGATCCAGTTCTATTCTTCAATCTATGTCTGAGAATGATTTGTGTCGGGTTACTATGAGCTCTTGGGATCTCTAGAGTGTTTGGGTCACCTCAGATTCTCATCGCCAGTTGGCAACTTGTGATTATGAGATTGTATTGCTCGAATTTTGAGTTGATAGATGTTTTTCTGACCTCACCTCAATTCTTTCTTTCAACATAAAGATAACTCTCGAAGTGGCGCATACAATTCCATTTGGAATGACATGTAAAGAAGATCAACTTGAAGAAGTTCAAATCGCAAATGACGACCATGGCTGACATTGTCATACTATTCCTATTAAATTTCTCTCGGTTAATCGTTCCAAAGGAAGCTCACAGGGTCAAAGACTCACAGAGGAGGACCTTTGAAACGACCCCCAATCATAGCTCAACAGTAATCACAGACTTGAGTTGACCACTTTGAAGGTCTGACCCCCACAGATGCGAAAACGAGCTTGGGAGGCTTTCATTGCTGGCATTTCTCACACCTTTCAACCACGCTAACACGCCCCGTTTCGGGTGCAGATTGGCGATCCGAACACCGCAGAGCTACCCTCGTATTGCAATTTGACTTTCTCTTCCTCAGATATCATATTCCACAATCTTCATTGCGGAAAGCTCGGGTAAACCAGGTGCCCCCCACTCAAGTGATCGTTTATCCAAGTTAGGTAGGTAATACCTTTCCTTATGTGATAGTGAACACCGGACTCCATACTAGTACGTGATCAGATCCGCTCAATGAGGCAGTCCCGATGAACCTAGAGCTACTCACCCAGATCCACTAGTCCAACTGATCTTTTTTTGCGCACCCTTTCGGAGTTTCTCACATTGAAATCGTGACATTGAGTTGTAAATGGGAGTTTAGGGCGTCCCAGTTTCCCTCCTTTTCGGAAATACAATGGTCCATCTTCGTGAGAGAATAGTCAATGTGAAAAACCGCTCAGCCCTCTTTCATCAATCTTTCTACATCTGGGATTTAGTCTTGTCTGAAATGAGACCATTCGAGAAATTGCTGCGTGATTCTTTGCAGGATGATGTGTTCTCTTCGTCAGTACTCTTCGCCAAACGTCTTGATGGTTAGAGAATCTCCACCAGCTCTTTCCTCCACGGACCACAGTTAATACAAAGACAGGATCCGATATCGTATCCGAATGCCTGGGAGGTCCATCACCAGCATGGCCTGAACAAGCTCCCGTCGACAAACAAACAGTCTTCACGCTAGCTTCCTGCTCGAAGCTTCCAACCACAGTCGCTGTCCTGCAGCTGGTAGATAAAAAGCTCCTTACCCTAGACACCGACGTGAGCCCCATGCTCCCAGCTCTGGGCCGCCAGAAAGTGCTGGCGGGCTGGTGTCCAGACGGCTCACCTATTCTTAATGAGCGTCGCAACCCGATCACCCTCCGCCATCTCTTGACTCATTCCGCCGGCACTAGCTATTACTTCCAAAATAAGAGCCTTAGACGACTTCGAAGTCTCCAAGGAAGACTCCCGGAAATTCTGGAGTCTACTATTGAAGATCGCTTTGACGACCCGCTCCTATTCGAACCGGGGGAAGGCTGGGAGTATGGATGCGGACTTGATTGGGCGGGCAAGCTGGTAGAGCAGCTTACTAGGATGTCGCTGGAAACTTACCTGAGACTACATGTATGGGAACCGCTGGGAGCATCTAGCTTCACCTTCTGGCCACACGCTGAGGGGAGACATCACAAGGTCGCTAGCCTCACGGAAAGAAATGAAAATACCGGGAGACTTGAGGTACACCCCGAAATCCTGTTCTTGAACCAGGGAGTCGATACGGAATGTTTCGGAGGTCATGGGGGTTATTGCAGCGGAGGGGACTACATGCAACTCTTGTTCTCCCTCTTCAGCAATGATAGGCGTGTACTCCAGCCCGACTCTGTGGAATTAATGTTCCAGGGCAACTTGTCCGATCCGAGTCGAGCAGCTCTTCAAAAGGGGTTCGAAGGTCGGAAATTGACCATCGGCGACTTCTACCGCGGTGAGCTCTACGATTGGGGATTGGGAGGGATGTTGATCGACGGTCGCCGCTCAGAGGCGCAGTACCCTCGGGGTCAAAAGACTTTGGCGTGGGGTGGTGGAACAAATCAATTTTGGGTTAGATATTTTTCATGTCTCTCTGGATTGCACTTGCTGACCGTCAGCTATAGTTCATTGATCGAAGCAACGGCGTCTGTGGTCTTATCATGTCTCACGTCCTCCCACCACAAGACCCTCAGATCGAGGAAATCATCGGCGCATTTCAGAGACACGTTTACAAGACAGATCGTGGCCAAGTTTTCCCAAGCTTTTTGTAGTATGATTATGTCATCGCAATGCTTCACTTCTGGTCGATGCTTTTAGCAAGGCGTTGTGAGACTGGACCGGAATTCCGACACTCAGAATTCTTCAAGAGACTTCTACGGAAATCGGCAGGGGTCACAAAACGGCGAATTCGAACCATTCCTGGGTTTTCAACATTGACCTCGTGGTCTGAGCTCATTATTCATTGTTCCAAAACAATAGTGCCATCTTGAGTTTACAAAGTCTTAGTTCAGGCCCTCTCATTCAATCAAAACTGGTCCCTCTTTCGCCCATAGCAGTACTTTCCAACGTTCGGGTTAGTGTTACTGCAAACACAGGTGCCGGCGGGAGCGCTGGAAGCTTGTTAGCCCTTGTTCCAAGAACCTTAATATTTGGCAGACACCAATGTCCTAGGAAAACCTACGCATGCTTTTGGAACTTGTAGATGAATCCATCCGGAGTCTTGACAGATGCAGTTGGGCACTGCTCGTTGCAAGTCTCGTCAATGGGAACAGAGTTCTTAGGGTTGTTGACGCAAATGGCCGCGTTGGTCCAGATGCAAGCGTCAGCACCCTGCTCGTGGCAAGCCTTGAGCTGAGCGGTGCAGCAAGAGCCGGTTCCGACTTCATAGGCGAATGCGGGCACAACCGCAGCCAGGGCAGCGGCCAAAAAGAGAGAAGTCTGCATTTTGACAAAGGGAGAAGGATCAAGTTGGATTCGAAAAGAGTGTCAAGAGTGTCTAATGATTGTGATGAAATGAGTGTAAGAGCTGCTAATCAGATGATTCAACAAATCTTAGACTCGGTGCGGCTGGTAGTCATATTTAAGGTAGTTCGTGACTGCAACAATATCCGATGAACACCAACCACGGCACGCGCGCATAATCACAACAGGGAAGCATCGCCAGGCTCCGAGTCTTGACACAATTGACTTGCAGAATCACCATCGAAGGTTTCTACTCTTTTGGAAGAAAACGGGGCAAGTGGGAGCCGGCGAAGCAATTCAAGCCGAACTAAGCGTTGTCTTCAGTACGCCAGCGAGTATGTCCCACTGTAAAGTCGGGATCGTCTCATGGTTCAAGATTTAAAGTTTAGGTTGCACTCTGAATGGGCCCAGCGGTTGAAGTCTAAGTTCCCGACAGTCGGGATA